ACATACTCAGTATACCCATAAATACCAAAAGACTCGGATATACTCAGCATAACCAGAATGACAGAAAAATAACCATGTGCCAAAGGCACAGTGGGTTTCTCAGATTCTTGGAACATCTGCCATATTGCATACACACTGTTTTTGTTCCATCCAGAAGATCCTAAAACATATGATCCTAAAAACCAGGAGAATCTTAAAAAAATATATATTGCACCATCCTTGAAAAGGCAATTCAAGAAGCAAACTATCACTGTGCACTATAAGCTGGGCAGCTGAACAGGAAAAGCAGTTTTCCCAAATGGTCAAGTGTTAAGAAGATACTTCCCACTAGATGGCTCACAGGGTCCTTGCTGTATGAATAAAGGTACGAATACCTGACCCAGCAATCATGAAAATAAAAATCTGTAAGCGTTCTGTAAGAACGTCACCAGAAAAATAACACTCAGAATGTGCCATGACCACACAGTCCTCTGCAGCCATGAACACTGAAAAACGTAATGCTGGAATTCATACAGCCACGTCTTGATCCTTACTTAGTCCTTGACCTTGTCTAGTTCCCCAAAAAATAAGAGCAATGAACCACTACTTACAGGTGACTTCTACGTTTTTTGTTTATATTGCTACACAATATATGTTGTAATACATTTGGTTTTCAGAACTCTGCCATTTTCTTTTCCTTCAATATTTTCAGAACTTTTTATTTGAAAGGTAGAGCTAAAGATGTGGAAAATGGCAGTGTTAAGAGACCATCAAGCATTCACTCACTCATAAAGCCCACTTTATTGGACAGCTAAAAAAAAGCACACGTACATATCCTAATTCAAATGCATTGCAGAACAAACAACAACCAAAAGCACACTGCATTGTTATTTACATTTGGCCAGTGCTAGAGTTGACCATATTTTTTATACCTATGCTGTGCTTGTTTTGCCTGGGGTAGAGTTAGTTTTCTTCACAGTAGCTAGTATGGGGCCTTCAACTCCTTAAAGTGCATTTGCAAAAGCATGCAGTCATTATCAACAGGGGACTAAACCACAAGGAAACAGAATTCTTGTAAATGCGGGATGCTCCATGCGCAAGTTGGGCTTTCACAGCTCTTTCTTATATACTCTTTCTTTTAATGGCATCAAAACCCTGAAAGGACAGCAGTGCTCCATAAAAAACACCACAACTTTTAATCATGCACCACAAATACAGAACCATTGTTGATTGCCATATTATTTGACTATAAGAAGGAAAGAATATGGAAATGATCTGCATTGCTCTTAATTACTGTAGCTGATCGCTATTGCAAGGTGACACTCCAGTGTATATATGAAATGCTAAAAGCTAATTATAACTTTGGTATTACAATCAACACTAACATGACAGTACAAGACCCTAATATTCACAATGAACACTTTTTATCATATTATTTAAGACTTCTATGACAATACAATGATATAAAAATACCCTAGGAACTGGGTAATAATAATAATAATACTTATTGTTACATGTACATATTCCATTTATATGTAAAATACTGCCTTCATTAAGAAACTAATTAGAAAATTAATTTATGCAAAGTTTTATCAACTTAATTAGCTGTATTTTGTGGGTCACCAGATAACTTTTTTTTTTTGACATTCAAAGACCTATTATTCTTCAAACTGGGGTGCTGTATTTAGTATGTCATTGACAGAAATAGCTTTTTAGACTACTAACATTCTACTAGATGATGATCTTGTACTGTGGGAGCAGATCCCTAATTCTCAAATATGATTTGTGAAACCACCTTGTTGACCTTCCGTACTGAACAAAAGGACAGGAACTGGTATTGTCACCAGTAGTTAAAAAAAAGTAAGGACAAATAAAACTTGCCAAGTTACATAGTAAATCAAATATTAATAGATCCAAAAAACACAGAGCAGAACTAGTTTTTCAGTCTCTTTAATTAGCTAAAGATTAAAAACACACAGTTAAAAAGACTTAAAGATTTAACGCATTTACCCTAGTTTATACTGGGTGAATATTCAAGGTGAATGAAAGTTCAACTAAGTTGAAGTTCTAAATTTTGTAATAATTTTATTGAGTAATGGTAAAAATTAGTTGCATCTTAATATGCAGTTTTATAGCTTTTTAGTTTCCACTACTTGAGCTACCAAAAATATCTTTACTATATTTGGTCTAATTAATCTAGAACATTCTACTTCAAGAACTAATTCCTCAAAAGTATACTTAAAATGATTTTTTCCAAAAATGTGCAAGACAATGACCTTATATAATCATCCTATTCTCCACATGATTTAGAATTAAGTGATCCAGGTTTGTCTTACAGAGGCATGTTAAAGTTCCCAAACCATTTAACTGCCATTAAAATACCTGCTGAAATGACTCCTCCTCTGAGACTTACTAATTTCAACTTCCTCGGAATCGAAATTCCTCCCCATCATTCAGCATATTCATAAAATCAAAACAGACCATTTCAAAGTCATTGCTTTAAAAACTCAGATACATGTCACAAAAACTAATTTCTACAATTCTGAAGTGATGATCACAAGGAAAAGCCTGCTGTCCACTCCTAGAACTAACTTTACTGTAATAAACCTACCAATATAGGGACAACTGTACTACAGTCATGTTGTAGCATCTACTACTACAGCTTTGCAACATCACTCTAACACGAATGTAGATTTGTAAGCAGGATCTCAATTTGATCAGACGAAACCTGATAACATAAAGGAAACAGTATGTGGTATAATGTGAACTGAAAAAAACAGCAAACAGCAGCAAGTTTTCAAACCTCACAAGTGAGAAAAAGAATGGCAGAAAGGCATCTGCTGTGTAGTGGGAAGAAATGCAGAGAACAAAGACAATCTACGCAAAGGATATAATCTAAATATATACTTTAGCCTTGTTTTTGATGAGATTAACATAAAGAAAGACTGGAACACTTGATGCTGGAACATGTTGCCCGGAGAAGTTCTGGATGCCCCATCCCTGGAGGTGTTCAAGTTCAGGCTGGATGAGGCTCTGAGTAACCTGGTCTAGTGAAAGGTGTCCCTGTCCATGGCAGGGGGTATGGAACTAGATAATCTTTAAGGACCCTTGCAACCCAAATTATTCTATGATTTATAACTAAGTAATATGAGGGTACAGAAAAGGAAATGATCAAGCTGGATGAAAAAGAAAAAAAACTTATTGCGCCCATACCAGGGGAGGGAGAATAAACTAAATTCCAAAACACAAGAACACTTTCTCAAGAAGTCACAAATCTGTAGAGAACTGCAGATGCTGTTTCTGGAATCTAGAACCATAAACTTACTGCCTTGACTGAGGAATGAAAAAGCATTCAAAGCAGCTACTGCTTTTTTGGTATGAAGAACTGCATGGCATGCACAGCTTCTGATGACACTTTAAAGTGACTGGGATTAGTAGTAAAGGAAATTGGGATAGCAAAACACATCAAGTCAGATAATAGGATATTATTTATTTGTTAATATATGAGACGTGGAAAATTCTGATCACTAGACTGATAGAAAGGAAGTTAAACTTTCCAGTTCAAAAGCATGGTCCAGCAATTTACGACCAGTAAGAAAATCAGCAATACAATTGAAGATCATCAGTTGATAAAAACAAAAGAAACATAGATCTGTCACTATGATCAAATAGGTTACCAGAAAACACTGTGACAGAATTGGGAGAAAGTTATTTCCAGAAAAGACAGAGAAATATTAATGCCTTTGTACAAAGCAAACTGAGATCTCAGATGGCATACAAAGTACACCTCTGCTCATTCAGGATTAATGCATCAGGAAA